AACAAGTCTCAGCTCTTGGCCTATCAGATCGTGGTTTCTCAACTCTAGCCCTCTCAAGACGTGGCTTCTCAATCCTTGGTCCTCTCTCATCCTTATCCTTCCCAACTCTTGGTTCCTTGTCAACCCTTTCCTTCACAACCTTTGTAGCTCCATGACTCTTAGAACTGAGATTGGTACTGTCAATTGTGGCACAAAAGTCTGAACCTCTAGGCTGCAAGCGATATGACACCAAACTATTCACCTTGTGAAGGATCACTTCTTGCTTGTGAAAGTCAATTGAAGCGCCAACTGTACTAAGGAAAGGGGTTCCCAATAACAAAGGCAAATCCTTCTCTTCTTCCATTTCCATCACAGTGAGATCAGTTTGGATGATGCATTCTCCAATTTTCAAGTGATAGTTCTTGAACACTCCAAGAGGAGACTTAGTAGTTGCATCTCCAAAGATGATTGAAGTAGTAGGGCGCTGCAAGGCTCCAGCTATGCCTAGCTTCTCTGCCATGGAGAGAGAGATCAGATTGATGCTTGCTCCAGAATCCACTAAGGCATTGTCAATCTCAAGATGCCCAAGTGTGCAAGGGAGAGTGAATTTCCCTTGATCCTTGACCTTTGGTAGGAAGGTGGGTGAAGTAAGCAGGTTGAACTGATGAGTAGACTCTTGTAGGACCTCTGAAACTTTATCACTGTTGGCTAGAACATCCTTGACCATTTGCATTTGATCAAATGCCTCACTCATGCTATCCATAGTAGGCAACTCAATTCCAATCCCACTGAGATCTCTTCTGAACTTGTGAATCACTTCCTTGTGACCTTGACTAAGTAGGCGAGACGAGGAAGCGGCAACCGGTTGATAAGGATCAAGCAAAACAGGTTGTCGGACAGAAGAGGTCGGACTCGATCGAGCTAGAGTTGGACTCGATCGAGCTGCCGATCGAGCTTGTCGTGCGAGCTCAACTGGTGAAGTGTGAATGGCCACAGTAGGTGCATGCACTTCTGGTTGATCAATCTGGACTCCAGGAGCCTCAGCAGCAACAATCTCTTCATCATTCAGCAGTAAACAAAAATCTTCAATGACCCTTTCTTGATCCTCTTCTTCAACAAGTCCTTCTTGAGTGAAGATGACCTTGCACTGTTCCTTGGGGTTCTGAATAGCTTTACCAGGTAGTTGTCCTTGCTTTGTAGCAGCAGCAACAGAAGAAGCATGATTCTCCAGAGAGTAAACCCTTGTGTTGAGGTTCTCGATCTTAGAGTTTATTTCAGCTAGCTTCTTGCTTGTGTCCACTACCCCATCAGCTTGCCCTTGAAGTAGTTGCTTTAGCATTGCTTGAGCTCATTCTCTTGTGAAGGTGCAGGCTGGGGCGGTTGGTGGGGGAAGCCTGGTGGGATATTCATTTGTTGTCCAGGGAAAGTGCCTTGTGGTCCTTGGTAATTGTTCTTTTGACCATACCCATGTTGTGGCACCTGACTCGATCGAGCTGCTTGTTGTTGAGGATATACTTGGTCCTGAGGGTTAGCAACATCAGTGTTGCGGTATGACATGGCAGGGTTGGACTTGTAGTTATAGTATCCTTTGTTGTAACCTCCTTGCCCATTGCTCATGTAGCACACCTCAGCAAATTGTGTATCCTCCCCTTCTTGGACTGGTTCCATCTCCTCAGCAGACACAAAGTTGACTTTCTTCATTGTGGACTGAGCTAGGATCAGCTTATCCAACTTCTCATTCAATGCCTTAACATCTTTTCTCAACTTTTCGTCTGACTCGATCGAGTGGTGGGTCGAGCTCCGGTTGGTGCGATCATACTCTTCTCCATAGCTTCCATTTGAGTTAGCTATGTTCTCCACAAGTTGCCAGCCATCATCTACATCCTGGTTGAGGAAGTTCCCATTGCTAGCTGTGTCTAGCATCTCCCTATACCTAGGCAAGCATCCTCTATAAAGAGTGGAGAGTAGGATTCATTGTTGAATCCATGGTGTGGGCACTGACTTGTGTAGCCTTTGAACCTCTCCCAAGCCTCTGCGAATGTCTCATTGTTTCGCTGGATGAAGCTGGATATCTCTCCTCTAAGCTTGGCTGTGCGACCGGTGGAGAAAAACTTAGCAAGAAAGGCCTTCTTGCATTCATCCCAAGTGGTGATTGTGCCATGGGGCAAGCTCTTCTCCCATTGGTGAGCTTTGTCAGCTAGAGACATAGGAAAGAGTCTCAGCTTGATGGCATCTTCAGAGACACCATTGATCTTTGTCAAATCACAAAGCCTATCAAACTCATCAAGGTGGTCAATGGGGTCTTCACTTGGCAATCCATGGAACATCTTGTTCTGGACAAGGTTGATCATTCCCAGCTTGATCTCAAAGTTGTGGTTCTGCACTGGTGGTGGAACAATCCCTTGTCTCTGTTGGTGGCGGTTTGGAGCATCTCCTTGACCAATCGGTCGAGTTTGCCTAGCTCGACCGAGTCCATTACCCAAAGGGTTTCCATTCCCCTCTGGTACATCCATTGTATCAGCAACAAGCACCTCAGGTTCCTCTTGTACCCTCTGTGACCTCTGAACCCTCTTTCTACCCGTTGTAAGTCTAGCTCGACCAAGTCTTCAGTTGACCGACTCGATCGAGTTCGCATACACCTGCAAAAAGAGACAAAAACCCAGCAGTACAATAGAACAGGGGTGGTATAGCTTGATCGTCCAAGTGTGTTTGAAACTCAAATGCAACAAAAATATTCCCAAATCGGCAACGGCGCCAAATTGATGATAGGATTTGTGTGTGGATGTGAAAAGATATGAAATGAGATGGTGGAATGCAATCAGTGGTATATGATGAGGTGGTAAGATGCAAACACAAACACAGTCAACAATTCCCTTTAACCATGATAGTTGATGTAGTACAAAGGGTTATCAATCCAAAATGGGAAACTTGTCACTCTATGAGAATATGAAACAACCAGAAAGTCAAGCAAGCAGTTATAGATTTGAAGTAACACTAACAACCTAAAAAAATGAAAAGCAGTGCAATAAAAGTAAAAAAGCAGTGAAGTGTCAGCTCGACCAAGAGCTCGAGTCGAGTCAGAGCAAAGTACCAGCTCGATCGAGTTTAGGGACGAGTTGAGACAAACAAAGCTAAAGGTGACGACTTTAACAAGATAAAGAGAGAATTAGGGTTCAAGACAGGGTTTTGCAATCAAAGGAATCTACACTTAATCAATCTAGCTCTTAAAACTCCTTGTATCAAGGCTTCTCTTGATATTGGGCTTCTCAATGCCTAGCCAACCCTTTCCCAAGGTGAGGCTATCAACCAAGGAATGATCTCAGAAACAGGGGGTTAGCCAGTGAGAATCAAACCTTGGAGGCTATAGGATCATTGCCCAAACTAATCCATCCAACCCCTTAGACCTCTATTGTCTAGAGCAAGAGATATTGGAGCTCTTAGTGGATCTTTTCCAGCGAATGCCATCACTTTCGTGTGGGGAGTCGCCTAAGGACTTACAAGCCAGGGGTAGTGGTCATGTAGCCTTAAGATCTATCCAAAAGAGAGAGAATCTAGATTAAGACCATAAGCTAGAAGGATTAAGCATATGAAACCTCTAATCTATCCCATCTCAAACCCCAATGGGTAACTACTCACTACACATGAATGTAAACACAAGCAAATGCAATAAAAGAGACATCATAAGAAAGAGGAGATGAAATTAAACAACTTTTATTGAAATAAGCAAGTGCAAATACAAGAGAGATTATCCAGGATCTAGGATTCAAGAAGCAAGAGCTTCAAGAACACAAAGATGGGATTAGATCTCTAAAAAGTAAAAGACAATAAATTAAAAGAAACTAAAACAAAAGTAATCTAAAGCTTGGTGGTTTTTTCGTGGCTTAGAGCCTTTAAATACATTAGGTTTAGGGTCAAAGGAAAGTCAAGGGGGAAGCAACATTTTTCGGGTTTGACTTTGACTTCCCCAGCTCGATCGAGTTGAAGCTTGGCCGGTCGAGTTGAGGAACTCGACCGGTTGGTCGAGTGGACGGTCGAGCTGGTCTTCAAGATGGCTTCTCCCTTCTTCCTTTGCGTATCCAGTTGAGCTGCTTCCATGTGCCAAGTCCCTCCATGCTCCTTTGTCCCATATGCTCCAGAATGCTCCAAAAGACCTATTTCAAAGGACCAAACATGCATATGTATGCAAATGCAACCTAAAACTAACATGAATGCATAAGAAGAGAAAAGGAACAAGAGATATGCTAAAACTATGCAAAAGATGCATAAAAGATGTGCTAAAACTATGTAAAATGCAAGTACATCAACTGTTCCTTCACTAAAGTACCTGAAATGCATCAAAGATTACAAAGAATTAGAGTTGCAATGATCGGTTTGGTCAACTCGACACTCAGCTCGATCGAGTCAAAAAACTCGAGTGACAAACTCGATCGAGCTAGGTGAAAACAGAGTATAACCGAACCTAATTCAAGTATTAAGAGCTGGAAAGGATGCTAATCAATCAAATTGAACCAAGAACAACTAGTAAATGGAACAATGAGCAATTCTAGTGAAGCACTAAGCATCTTAACCAATACCAAACTCAAATTCAATGTTTTAACACATGCAACAAGTTCTAATGGCAAAACAGAGGTGAGGTGAGGCAAATTCAAAAACTATAGCAGGAGAAATATGAAAGCAATTACTCAAGAACAATCCCACAAGGGGCACATGCAATCAAAAATCAAAGAGAAAACAAGCAATAATGGAAATCGAGATGGAGGAATCAAGGGTTTAGGGTTCATACCTTGCTTGAATGATGAATTGAAGAGCAGTAAACTAAAACCCAAAGCAAACAATGAAGAACAAGAGGAAATCGCAAAAACTTAAGAGAGAGGTTGAAATCGATTTTTCTTGTGGTGATGAGAGAGAGAGATGAGTTTCAGAAATTTTAAGTGTGGGAGAGTGGAGAAGTGGGTTCGATCGAGTTATGGGGAAGAGGGAGTGTTTGAGATGTGTGGTTGAGATTAAAAGGTGAATAAAGAGGGGACAAAAGCTAGGGATTTTTCTGATCAATTAGGGTGGGGGACCAAAATTAACTTGTGGGACCCACTCCCTTGACCAAGAAAACGGTTAGAAATTTGAAATTCAAAAACTTACCTCGGTCGAGTTGTGGAACTCGATCGAGTTGCCCTGTTTCTAGCTCGATCGAGCTGTCGGTCGAGCTGGCTCCTTGTCACCTAAACTTAACTTATTGAAAGGTTAAAACACGAAAATAGATAGAAATTGCATAAATAGAATATGTACAAGGATAAACATGGGACTTCCTCCCAAGTGAGCTTGTTTAAGGTCCCATAGCTTGACCTTTACCTTCTTAGGCATTGGTTGAGCTAGTCCCACCATCAAGGGTGATAGTGAGGACTTGAGACAGAAGCTCCTTTAGCTTGGTTGGGTCCCTGGATTGTTCTGAAGTCACCAAGGCTTTGGCTCTAGAGAATGGCCTTGATCTCCCCTTGTACCTTATCTTGTACTCAATCTTCCCATTTTCAAACTTGGTGGGGAACAAAGTCATTGTGAGCTGAGATGGCTTGAATGAAGGGGCCTGAGCTGGTGGATCTTTTCTTTTATCCCTGGTCTTGCCTTAGAGGCTACATCCTCCCCTTCTTTTAGAGCCCTTCCTAGTGGCTCATCAAACAAAGCTTGAAGGCTTTCTTCATCAAGCACACAAGGGGCTTGAACAAGTCGATCAGCTCGTGGTCTATCAGAACGTGGTTTCTCAACTCTAGCCCTCTCAAGACGTGGCTTCTCAATCCTTGGTCCTCTCTCAACCTTATCCTTCCCAACTCTTGGTTCTTTGTCAACCCTTTCCTTCACAATCTTTGTAGCTTCATGAGTCTTAGAACTGAGAGTGGTACTGTCAATTGTGGCACAAAAGTCTGAACCTCTAGGCTGCAAGCGATATGACACCAAACTATTCACCTTGTGAAGGATCACTTCTTGCTTGTGAAAGTCTATTGAAGCGCCAACTGTACTAAGGAATGGGGTTCCCAATAACAGAGGTAGATCCTTCTCTTCTTCCATCTCCATCACAGTAAGATCAGTTTGGATGATGCATTCTCCAATTTTCAAGTGATAGTTCTTGAACACTCCAAGAGGAGACTTAGAAGTTGCATCTCCAAACATGATTGAAGTAGTAGGGCGCTGCAAGGCTCCAGCAATGCCTAGCTTCTCTGCCATGGAGAGAGAGATCAGATTGATGCTTGCTCCAGAATCCACTAAGGCATTGTCAAGCTCAAGATGCCCAAGTGTGCAAGGGAGAGTGAATTTCCCTTGATCCTTGACCTTTGGTAGGAAGGTGGGTGAAGTAAGCAGGTTGAACTGATGAGTAGACTCCTTCAGGACCTCTGAAACTTTATCACTGTTGGCTAGAACATCCTTGACCATTTGCATTTGATCAAATGCCTCACTCATGCTATCCATAGGAGGCAACTCAATTCCAATCCCACTGAGATCTCTTCTGAACTTGTGAATCACTTCCTTGTGCCCTTGACTAAGTAGGCGAGATGAGGAAGTGGCAACCGGTTGGTAAGGATCAAGCAAAATTGGTTTGGGACAGAAGAGGTCGGACTCGATCGAGCTAGAGTTCGACTCGATCGAGCTGCCGATCGAGCTTGTTGTGCGAGCTCAACTGGTGAAGTGTGAAGGGCCACAGTAGGTGCCTGCACTTCTGGTTGATCAATCTGGACTCCAGGAGCCTCAGCAGCAACAATCTCTTCATCATTCAGCAGTAAACAAAAATCTTCAATGACCCTTTCTTGATCCTCTTCTTCAACAAGTCCTTCTTGAGTGAAGATGACCTTGCACTGTTCCTTGGGGTTCTGAATAGCTTTACCAGGTAGTTGTCCTTGCTTTGTAGCAGCAGCAACAGAAGAAGCATGATTCTCCAGAGAGTAAACCCTTGTGTTGAGATTCTCGATCTTGGAGTTTATTTCAGCTAGCTTCTTGCTTGTGTCCACTACCCCATCAGCTTGCCCTTGAAGTAGTTGCTTTAGCATTGCCTTGAGCTCATTCTCTTGCGAAGGTGCAGGCTGGGGTGGTTGGTGGGGAAAGCCTGGTGGTATATTCATTTGTTGTCCAGGGAAAGTCCTTGGGGTCCTTGGTAATTGTTCTTTTGACCATACCCATGTTGTGGCACCTTGACTCGATCGAGCTGCTTGTTGTTGAGGATAGACTTGGTCCTGAGGGTTAGCAACATCAGTGTTGCGGTATGACATGGCAGGGTTGGACTTGTAATTATAGTATCCTTTGTTGTAACCTCCTTGCCCATTGCTCATGTAGCACACCTCAGCAAATTGTGTATCCTCCCCTTCTTGGACTGGTTCCATCTCTTCAGCAGACACAAAGTTGACTTTCTTCATTGTGGACTGAGCTAAGATCAGCTTATCCAACTTCTCATTCAATGCCTTAACATCTTTTCTCAACTTTTCGTCTGACTCGATCGAGTGGTGGGTCGAGCTCCGATTGGTGCGATCATACTCTTCTCCATAGCTTCCATTTGAGTTGGCTATGTTCTCCACAAGTTGCCAGCCATCATCTACATCCTGGTTGAGGAAGTTCCCATTGCTAGCTGTGTCTAGCATCTCCCTATACCTAGGCAAGCACCTCTATAAAGAGTGGAGAGTAGTGATTCATTGTTGAATCCATGGTGTGGGCACTGACTTGTGTAGCCTTTGAACCTCTCCCAAGCCTCTGCGAATGTCTCATTGTTTCGCTGGATGAAGCTCGATATCTCCTCTAAGCTTGGCTGTGCGACCGGTGGAGAAAAACTTAGCAAGAAAGGCCTTCTTGCATTCATCCCAAGTGGTGATTGTGCCATGGGGCAAGCTCTTCTCCCATTGGTGAGCTTTGTCAGCTAGAGACATAGGAAAGAGTCTCAGCTTGATGGCATCTTCAGAGACACCATTGATCTTTGTCAAATCACAAAGCCTATCAAACTCATCAAGGTGGTCAATGGGGTCTTCACTTGGCAATCCATGGAACATCTTGTTCTGAACAAGGTTGATCATTCCCAGCTTGATCTCAAAGTTGTGGTTCTGCACTGGTGGTGGAACAATCCCTTGTCTCTGTTGGTGGCGGTTTGGAGCATCTCCTAGACCAATCGGTCGAGTTTGCCTAGCTCGACCGAGTCCATTGCCCAAAGGGTTTCCATTCCCCTCTGGTACGTCCATTGTATCAGCAACAAGCACCTCAGGTTCCTCTTGTACCCTCTGTGACCTCTGAACCCTCTTTCTACCCGTTGTAAAGTCTAGCTCGACCAAGTCTTCTGTAGACCGACTCGATCGAGTTCGCATACACCTGCAAAAAGAGACAAAAACCCAGCAGTACAATAGAACAGGGGTGGTATAGCTTGATCGTCCAAGTGTATTTGAAACTCAAATGCAACAAAATAATCCCAAATCGGCAACGGCGCCAAATTGATGATAGGATTTTGTGTGGATGTGATAAGATATGAGGTGGAATGCAAACAGGGTGAATAAAGATGATGGTATGGTGCAATCACAATCAATCAATTCCTCTTAACCATCATAGTCATGTAGTATAAGAGGTTATCAATCCAAAATGGGAGAACTTGTCACTTTGAGAATATGAAAAACAAGAAAGTCAAGCAAGCAGTAAAGATTTGGGGTAACACTAACAACCTAAATGAAACAGAAATGAAATGCAGTAAGTAAATAAAGCAGTAGAGCAACAGCTCGACCAAGGACTCGAGTCGAGTTGGAACAGAGTGCCGAGCTCGATCGAGTTTAGGGTCGAGTTGAAA